CAAAGACTATCGGGGAGGGTAATCATAACCTGATAACTCTTTAACACCAATAGTTTTGATATATGTGTCCATATCTGAAATGATGTGTGAACTCTCCCATCCTTGGTCTGGACTGGAGACAATAATTGCAAACATCATTTGAGTTTTATGTTTGTCTATATTTCCTAGCTACTTTAATCTGAGCCTTAAACCCTTACCTTGCATTTGTGAAGCTCTGCCCCATGACAGTAGAAAATAAATCTTTTTTCTTCCTCAGGATCAGACTGAAACAACTGGCTTAATGTGATTCTTAACCATAAGATAAGGATAAATTGGTTTTACCTCCTCCCTAGAGTTGAATTCCCATGGAAGGAGCAGGTTCATAGTCTGGAAGTGGGAATTTTCCAGAATTAAGAAATCTATACTCTCTAGAAGCTGCTGATCTATCATTCTCAGCATCTATAGACAGTGATGACCGGTGCTGCCAAAAACTCCTCATTCCTCTTCCAGTGCAGCCTTCACCAGTCTGATATCCTTCAAATATATTAGACTATCCAGAATATACAGTTATCTTCATCATTTGAGTTAATGAATCAGAATGTTACTTATTCTAAATTTCATTTGGGCATTTTGGATTCCAGGCTCAAATTATACTACTTCTGACATATTATGCAAAGCTCTCTGGAGAAGGATCTAATGCTGGGAAAGATAAAAGGAAGGAGAAGAAGAGGAAGACCAGCAAGATGGATGGACTCAGTTACAGTGGCAATGAGTGCACCGTTGGAAGATCTGAAAGGCCAGGTTAGGAATGGATTATTATAGCAAAAGTCTATGTGATCACTAAGAGTTGGCACCAACTTGATGGCATATAATCAATTTTGGATTCACATATAATTCATCCTAACACAGAGAGCAAATAAATGAAACCCTAAATACAAATATATTGGATTATATAAGTTGCTATATATCAAAATGTCTTTTTGTACTCTCTGGTACCCTGTGATGCCTGTTTGATATTCACATACTATCTACTTTCTAGCAGCATTTGCAAGTCTTAAAGTAAGATTAGAAAAAAGAAAGAGAAAAACTAGTTTATACCAACCCTCTTCACTACATTTAGGCAGGAGGCAAGCAAATAAGATACACAGATAGGTAGTACTGGATTTCTGTATTGTGTACTAGCTGATCTTCTGCATAGATACATCTTTTGGTTTGCAATAAAGCTTCTATCTAACCATACTGAATCACTGAAGGTTCTCTTAGGTAGTTACAGATCAGGAAGGTGGGGTCAAGTATTTGCAGAGACAAGAATCAAGTCTGACATCACCCTTTTCTGAATTCAGATTACACATGATGGCAGTTGGAAGTAATATCATCTGTAATCTACATGCCATGGTTGCTTCAAACATTACAAGGAAATTGGATGGTAACTTGCACAATCAGCAGAATCTTTACTAGGTTTTAAAATTAGTTGTACGAACCTTTATTTAAAAAAACATAATTATAAACTTCCAACAATATAGATGCGAAAAATCAGTCTATAATAAGATAGCCATTAGACCTGGGAGCTCTTCCTGTTTCATAACCTTCATAGAATCTATTTTTTCCTAAAGAAAGATACAGCTAGATATATAGTTTGTCATGTGTACCTTTCTGAAGAGATATATTATTTTAAAAATAATTCATTTCTACCTCAATAATTATTGACTCAGTATTTCAAAGTTAAGTATAAAAATTGTTTATTAGAGTTATTATATATTTTGCTTTAAGTTTAATAGTAAAAATAATATTCATTATTGCTGCTTCAATGGAGGGGCCAATAATTTACTAGGTCTTTTCCCTCACTCCCTGTATCTTTACTTTATGGGACTTAATGCATATTCTATACTAAGCACATACAATTTCAAATTTAGAAGACATTAAGTTTGTATCTGATGTAAATTGTTTTGTATATGTACACAAAAGTTACTTATTTTCTAATTTTTCTTTAAATTTTCTTTACCATCAGAAGTACTGATTTTTATTTTAAGAATGTTTTTAAACATAAGCTTATGGGATTCGATTTATGGTAAGTAGTGTGGATGTTTATGTGTTCTCACAATTCTAGAACTTATTCTTATCCAACAATTTGCATTAAATTCAGCTGGGAAGCTTATTGGGTAATGTTTGGGCCAATCACCTTCTCTGAATCCGATTTATCCATTTATACATCATTGTACTCTATATAGACTCCTGGCAGTTTACAATAGTAAAAATAATAAAAATAGATTTAAAAAATAACAATATGATAGTTCCATAATACAAAATACCAATGGTATCCATTCATCCTTCCCCCGATGCCCTTGAAAACAATTCAGTTTTTATTAACTTCCAGAAAGCCATCTGGATGGGTGCTGACCTGACATCAAGGAAGAGGCTGTTCATAGCATAGGGGCAGCAACAGAAAATTTTGTCTGCTAGACCCTGCTCCTTCACCTCTGAATATGGTGCCCACAAAGAGTTTTGTTGGGGAGCATGCCCTGGACGAGTTGATTCTATATGGAGAAGGCAGTCCTGCACATATCTAGGAGCCAAGCCACATATGCTTATCTCATAAGATTGTTGTGGGAATAAAATAAGGAGACATATTCCGCCCCACTCCCCACCCATATACTACTTTAAGTTCCCAGATGAAAAACAGGATTAAAATGCAATAAATAAAAAAGGTTGGCAGTATGTTTAGGACAAACTAGGAGCTCTTTACAGAATGTATACCTATCATGTAAATTCTACTGCCACAAAATATTACCATTTATTTAGATCAGAAAATTACTGTAGGACTATCAGTTGGTCACTTCGGTAGTTACAGAGATCCTTAATATTAAAAGATATTGATGAATTCACAACTAGAATATAGTTTTGTGTACCATGTTGTATGAACACAACCATTTTAGCTTGTAAACCATGGATTATAGTCTAGATTATGTGTAAATACAACTGACTTATGCAACAAAACATAAAACTGTTAAAAACTGTCTTATTTTAGCATAATGTATAAACTCAGTCATTTAATACACAACCTAGAACTTTCCTATCTTGTTAATGCCATAGGTTTCATTTACTCTTGATAACAGTATAGAACATTATGATCTTAATAATTGCAAGTACATGTCATGCCTTCAATGTTAAATACAATTTTCATTTGCTCTCATGCATCAAATTGACAGCTGAAGGAAAAAAGGTTAGAAATAATAGTTTAATTTTTAAAAAATAGGAAATGCAATACGTTATCATAAAGTATATTTAAATGCATTTACAATATGCATAAAGGAAAAGCAGTAGTTTTCTATTTCTCATTTCTAGTGTCATTAAAACTTGCTTTATGGATTCTCTCTAGTTTCTAAAAGGGATGTATAAGGTGTTCAAAAGAGGTGTTTTGCAGAGCGCTTTAGCACAGAGCATCTCTCTTCAAAGCATTAAAGCAATCATGTTCTTTGAAAGGCTCATGCAATAGTTTGAAAGCAGTCTTTGGTTACTCCACATGCAGGTGCCCCCACAGAAATGTTGACTATGCATGCACGTGCAGACAACTGGGAAGAGCTTTTGAAGTTATGTGAGTTTTGCAAAAAACACAGCTGTTTTAATACTCCAAAGACTGATCCTTCATTCATTTTAATGTGCTTTGTGAAATACCTCTTTCAAATGCTTTCCATAGCCCTAGTTAAAGACTGCACATCTTGTCAGTTTACAGCCTTTGCACTAAATCCTATAAAAAATTCCCACTCACTGAAAAGTCATTTTTAAAGTGTATCCTCCCACTATCAATTACTACAGCTGTTTTGGATTTTAATGCACTAGTTTTAGAAAACTGGTATCATTATTAACTTTCTACATAATTGTTAATAATTCTCTCACTTAAAGGTGCTATCTAGCACATTTTTATTGAATAAAATAAAACATTAAACAAAGATAGAAAATTTTATAAATGTTACCATTTTGCACCATATTACAAAACAAATACTGTCCATATTTTAAATACTGTTCATCTGCTGCTCAAGAATTCTAGCTGGACATGTACTTTTTTGGAAAAATAAAGTTTTTTTGCTCTCTTTCTTCTTCAGACAATTAATTATATATTCATAAAAACTTCAGTTTGTCTCAGGGTTTCAACTTACAGTTCACAGAATTTGAAGAATTTAGCATCCAAGAATGCTAAACATGGGAAAGATTGGAATCTTGACTAAATTAGGCTAGTTATTCAGATGACCTTTAAAAGTATGCCATTTTGTGAGATTTTGCAAAGGACATTAATGCAATTTTCACAGCAGTTTCTATCTGGAAATCTACTAGGCCAAAACCAATAGGCCATCTAATTATGTTTTCTATCAGGCCACTATGTCTACTACCAGAACATGGAGTAAATGAATTCACAGACTTGTACAATAATATAAGAACCACCTCTTCTTTGGGCTCATAAACATTTTAAGTGATATTACTTGCCTGCTGCTGTGACACAGCTTAGAGTATATATGTAACATAAATATTGTAAATGTTACATAGATTCATATAATGAATTCTAATACTGTAATATTGTAACTCACACAGATAATCAGGATTATCTGGACTAAAGTGCTTTGCAAATTATGCACTTCATTAGAAATACACGCACAGAGGTGTTCCCTTTTCACCCAAGATTACATGTACACAAAATACTGGATAAAGTGTTTTGTAAAGGAAGATCCAACACACAGTAAGCAGGATTAGCCTTATACCTGACTGCAAGTCTTTTGTATTATGTTCTCCTATTCTCATGCAACACTGTATAATTCACTTCCCTACCCACGCACACAAAAGAAAAGTTCAACAGTTATAGATTGCACTTTTACAGCATAAACCTGAAAGTCCTTGATGTTCAGTGTCTACCTGGAACAGTTCACTGAAATATATTTCTTATGACACAGGAAGATTTCTCCTGAGTACTTCTTTTGAGGCTGGAGCTATACTGTCTGGGAAAATTACTTCAAATTCTATAATTAAGTCACCTCGTTGCTCATGATTTTTAGGAAATGGTAAACCATATCCTATAATTCTTCTTCTCATTCCAGGCTTTACAACTTCATTTATTGTCATAGGTATGGTTCGGCCTTCTATAGTTGGTACATTGATTGAGGTGCCACATAAAGCCTGAAAAATAGTAAATTAAAACAATTAGGAGCATCAGTATTTATTATTTCTTCAGGCTTAAAATATACTACATGTCCTGCATAAAGATAAATAACTATAGTTTTTAAATAAATGCAAATTTATTCAAATGCAAATGTTGTTATGTTGTATCTTTTTTTGTAAGTGGAGAATTGTCACCAAACAGTTGAACAGGTTCAATTAGAAATACTAAAATTAGTGACTGCAGAGAACAAAGTTCAGTATATAGATACCATTTTCAGTAAAGAGAAAATAATACTCTGCCACTTAACAAAATGGTTTCTCTTCAGATCATATAAATCTTTCACTTTTACTAACAAAATGTGCAAAGAATGCCTAAATGTAAAGACAGGAAACAGGAACATTGCCAACAATAATTTTTCTTTCATAGGTATGTTCTATGCACATGATATGAATTTCCACTTCTTACATTTTGATTAATGTAACAAAGTGAAGTGGTGGCTATATGCGTGGCATTTGGTAGGACTATCCTATTACAGCCCTGGAATGCAATCAATTGCTAGAAGTGTTGAAACGTTCTAACCTTGGAATATCCATTTTGATCATGAACAGGTGTTCTGACAACAGAAGCCAATATTCTGAGGTCTGAATTTTTTAACCTCTAAATGTTTTGCATATCTTTCCATAACTAGGCTCAAGGAAGCCAAATTCTCAAACTGATTTTAAAACATTTCTGACATACTCAGTTATATCAAAACTTATCAGTCAGTTATATTTGCTATATAGAGATGGGACACTTACCTTTTTAAAATTCACAATATAGATTTAAATAAATTATATTCTCTAAGATGTCCAGTGCTACCTGTGGGCTGGATCCGTGCCCCTCCTGGCTCCTTCCAGCAGCCTGGGGAGGGAGGCGTTTCCAGGATCTAAGACATTGTTAATGCCTCATTGTGACACTACCAACAGCCTTGAAGGAGCTTATGGTGCACCCCCTCCTTAACAGACCTCTGGACCTAGAGGTTCTGGACAATTATTGCCCAGTCTTCAACCTTACCTTTTGGGGGAAAACTACTAAGACTGTGGTGGGGAATCAACTACAGAGCACCCTAGAGGAAACAGATTATCTGGACCCTTTACAGTCAAGGTTCAGGTCTGGACACAGAATGGAAATGACATTGTTTGCACTAGTAGATTACCTTTCTCAGGACCTGGATGAAGTATGCCCATTCTGGTCCTTTTAGACCTCTCAATGGCCTTTGATACCATTGACCACAGCATCCTCCTGGACTGCCTGCAAGGCTTGGGAACTGAGAGTACTGTATTGCAGTGGTTCCACTCCTTCCTTGGCGGATGGTTCCAATGAGTGGTGTTGGGCAGGAGAGGCTATTCTCTTGGAGGGTGCCACAGGGTTTGGTTGTCTCCCCATGCCCCCTTTTTAACATTTACATGAAGCCATTGGGAAAGGTCATCTGAAAGTTAGTGGTTTGGCATCATCAATATGCTGATGATACCCAGCTTTACATTGCAATCCCAGGCCAGACTGCTGATGCTAAAGGCTGTGAAAGCTTGGATGGAAAATAATAAGCTTAAACTGAATCCCATAAGATGGAATTTCTGTTCATCCATTAGAATTCTCTATCTGCTCCAAAGGTATCTTTTGATGTGGTGGCACTACTCCTGAAGGACTAGGTCCATGACTTGGGAATTCTTCTGGAATTATGGCTCCTACCAGATCAGCAGGTAAAGGCCATAGGCAAAAGGGCCTTTTCCCAGCTTTGGCCAGGGAACAGCATAGCCCTACCATGGGCAGGAAGATCTTGCTACAGTGATTCCTGCCCTTGTCACTAGCCCTACCATGGGCAGGAAGATCTTGCTACAGTGATTCCTGCCCTTGTCACTACCGGCTCAGAGTAGCGCAATGTGTTCTACATCAGTTGTCTTTGAAGATTATTCAGAAACTGCAACTGGTTCAGACTGTATCAGCTGATGTGCATACCAGCGTTCACTAGGGGAGCACATTACACTAGTACTGCAAGGCCTGCACTGGTTATGGATGCAATTCTAAAATCCTAGTGCTAACTATAAAGACTTACATAGCTTAATGCCTTGTAACATGCAGGACCACATCAGTCCACCCAGTTTGATCTATCCTGGAGAAACTACTAGCACTGCCCCACTTTAGGGAGGTAAGAGAGGCCAAGGCTTGGTGGTGTTGCTCTTTTGCAGTGCGGGTCCTTTGGAATAGCCTCCCTGTGGACATCCATTTGGCTTCCACGCCAGACTGGCTTTCCAGAAGCTGCTCAAAATGGAGGTCTTCTGTAGGATGTTTGGGCCTTGATTCCATCTGGGTTTGGCTCCAGCTTAATTTGGTTAATTTGATTTTATTTTCTGTTTCTATTGTTTTGTGGACCTTTTATTTTATACTTATTGTTTACTGTATATCGTTTCTTGTGTATTTTATCTTGTAAAATGTCAAGAGTCCTTAGGGAATTCAGAAACCTATACATATAATAAATAAATAAACAAATATATTTGTAGTCCCAGGCATGGTTTTACCTCTTTAGATTTTGCTTAAAATTGGTTCTTTCCCCAGGTAGCTTATCTCCATTAACTCTGGCTGGTAATTTCAAATCTAAATGGAAGAGGATTTTGTTAGATAATCTTCAAAACCTGTGATCCTTCTTGGTCCAGGGAAGGTTATAAAAACTATTGAAGCGTTAATATGGTATTTTGATTTAGAAAAGTATTTCTAAATACTCCATCCCCAAATATTATTTGTTAATTTGTGCAAGGAACAACTGACTGCTTGTTTTGATTATGTTTTCAAAATGCTGGTGGTTCTGCACATTCACTAGGTTTGATGTTCTATTTTTAATAGTGTTAAATCGTAGTTACACTATATGAAAATACTGTTTGAGCACCAATTATGACTTTGGGGTGGCAATGAAGTTGAGACAATTGTATTTCTTTATATAGAGAAAAATGTCACAAGACACATTCAACTTGTCTTTACTGCCCCTATTATAAAAAATGGGAATTGCAAACACAGTTCTACTGTTACATTTCTTTTAAAAACAGTGTTGTTCAGCTTTTGATATTTTATATCCCACCAATCATTCTATCCAAGAGTCTTGGATATCATTATACAGTAATAAAAATAACTTTTCCCAAGAACGGCATTTATATGTTTTCAAGAATTCTGTTATTGTATTTACCCTTCAATAATAATAACGACAAAAAGTTAGTAGCACAAAAAGGTTTCCATTGTGTAACATTACCAAGAGTTCCACTGAATACTGTTAGGTTTACTTCTGAGCAGGCCTGTGTAGAAAACTGGCAGACTTTTTGCTTGAAATGGACCCTGAAATGTGGAGGACAAAGACCTAAACTGGCAGGGGGAAAGAGCCACTGGGTTGCCTTAGAGATGATTTTGGAAAATGGAGCCACCACTGTCACTTCTTCCTTTTCTTTTGTTTCCAGCTGGATGACTTAGTGAGGATGGAGATTATGGCCTTGACGAGATATACCTCGTCTGCTATTTCTGGCTCCTGAGGAGATGCATATAAAATCCCAGGTTGTACCCCACCAGGATTGCTTCTACATACCACTAGCAGTCCATGAATCACTGAGAAACAGTGTTCTAATAGAACAATATGATGTGTGTCACCAAGTGTGACTAAATGTGCATGCTGTCAACTCTATAAGACAATTGGTTAATGCAATGGATGCATCTTCTAAATCTAGTTATCTAGTTTGCATGCTCAGGATAAAAAATATATCAATACAGCATACTTTCTGAGGAGTTTTACTGATAGGATAAGTAATTCTATATAGTGAATTTAAAAAAACTTTTAAAAAAGATTTCAAAACATTTACTGTATAGTGGGCTTATATTGGATAATTTGATGGCCTTAGTGTCTTTTTAGACACTATATGTATTTTGGGATGTACTTTTATTGTGTTATTATTCTGTATCTGCTGGCTGAAAATACAAAAACAATCATAACTACTTTTTTTTATTTTTTTAGACTGACAATATAGGGTGCCATTATATCAACATTATGATAAAATATATTTGAAATCAGTAATATCATGCCAGATCAGCATACAGTTGCTCACACTAGCAGAATGTTGCTCTTGCATTCATACCATACTGTTTATTGTTTTTCTGTAATCACAAAAAATCTTTTCTAATATTTTGATGATACATTTCCCTCCACAGGCATTCTGATTATTTTATTTCATAGTGGATTGTTTGCATTTCTATTTGAGGAATATTCAAGCATAACACATTTACTATCACACAGTTGTAGTACTCCACCAGAACCTGGTACTTCAAATTTCCATAAAAATGCAAAGTGCAACAAAAGCAATCCAGAAAATCATAAAGCAGGATGATTTATGTGTATAACGGCAGTGAGGAAAAAGCAAGTCAGGGTTCAGAGGCAAACTG